TCATCATCAGTCTATGCTCCGGACCACCACCACCACCACCTCTCATCATCACCGTCCTCCGAGCAGCTCTGTTACGTCCATTGCCGCTATTGTGACACTGTACTTGTGGTATATATATAAAATAAAAAAACCTTGTACGTACTTAAATTTACTTAAACTTTCTCAAAAAATTTCCTTAAATTGATTAAATCAGGTGAGCGTGCCGTGCACGAGCCTTTTCAAGACTGTTACGGTGAGATGCGGGCACTGTACCAATCTTCTCTCGGTCAACATGCGTGGCCTTCTCCTCCCTTCACCGGCCAATCAGCTTCATCTCGGCCACTCGTTTTTGAACCCTCAAAACCTTATGGTAATGTTCATATGCACAAATGATCAAGAAAATAGGACTAGGGTTTCCAAATGTGGAAATTCTTGATTTATTTATTTATTTTGAGTTGAGGGGTTGTTTGGGTCTGTTTTTGGTGCAGGAGGAGATGAATAGGAGCTCGCCGGCAAACTTGGTGATGAACCAGGGGAATCCAAACGAGCCCTTCTTTCCCATCCGAGAAATCGACGAGCTTCCCAAGGCTCCGGCTAAACGACGTAACTTTCTTATTTATTTGTTTTTATTTCTCTCTTAATTTTAGTTTAATTTTAAATTATATGCAGATCTTGATGCGTATGTGAAATGAAAATAATTCAATTAATGTATGCAAAGAACCCACAGAACATTAGTTTTATCCGTCGTGTCTTTTTGTGGTCGGAATATTTTCTAAGTCACCATGAACTTCAAGATTTAAAGTGTAGTTTTCGTTTTTTTGTCATGGTACAATTTTTTTAGCTAACCAAATTATAAGAATTTGGAGCATAAAAAGAAAGGAAAGGAAAAGAAAAGAAAAGAAAAGTTAGGCTTTTTAAACAGTGATTGAACTCTTTTTCTCTATGTTGACAACTGATTTGAATCTGTTATATTATTACTGTAACTGTTCATGTTCATCAACAGTGAATGATCGGTGCACCGTTTTGAGAATGTTTCTCACATCACTTTTCAAACCCTAAATCTTGTTTTTCCATATTTTCACCTTCTTTTCTTTTCTTCTTGAAAATGGGGGTGCAAATTTGCAAGCCTAGTTTTTCAAGAAATTGTAAAGATTAGACTTTCAAATTCCAAGCTTAGTCTTTCAAGAAATCCTTCATTTTCTACTAGGTCACTCATAATCTGCAAAGATGAGATTTCGAATTTTCGAACTTAGTTTTTTGAGAAATCCACCGTACTCAATTAGTTTTTCGAAATTCCGAACATTTATTGATTTATGTTTTGAAAACAAAAAATTTGTGGCCCTTTTCTAAGAA